TGTGTGTTTTAGAATAATGAATGACCTTATAACATGTATTGTATATCTGAAGTTCTTGAATAATTCGATGAATTATGATTACATACTATAAAAATTTATTTGTTCCAGCGTGTGGAGTTAGGCCTAATATAAGTATTATGAAGAGTTCGAATTCCGTATTTTAGTGAAGTATCCGTTTAACATACGGGGAAGACATAGGAGTCAGATACAACTGTGGTTTAGTGGACACACTTACATAGGGGTTAGATCTAACTGTGGTTTAGTGGACACATTTACATAGGGGGTCAGATCCATGTGAGGTTTAGTGGACACACTTACTGAGTCAAACCTTTACTACAGTTATGTTTCATATTAAGGCTAGAAGCAAGTGAGTCAAACCTCTTCTCAAAGGTTGTTTGAGTCGGAAAACGTTGTTGCTATTAGCCTCCCTGATTATATCTTTCACTCCAGTTTTATTGGATCAGTTTTGTTTAAGTGATTTAACAATTCTTTGTTAAATACGAATTGTAACTTTTCTACATTTTCTTTGCAAAAGCAAAAAAAAAAAAGAAAGAAAGAAGGAAAAAGCGCCATCTATATAAATGTAACAATATACAAATAATAAAGAATGTATACCGATTCCATCAAGTCCGCAAAAACTATCTTCGTTGCTGTGTCTGATGAGAGCATGTGGATAAACGTTGTCGTTAGAGTCCACTGATCTTCGAACTTTCTCTGACACTGGCTGTAAAATATAGGCGCCATCTGGCGTAGACACGACACCATACTATAAGGAAAGAAAATAATGATAAATAAGACAACGTTTGTAGTAAAAGTATTTACTGATCATAGAAAAAATGTCATATTTAAGAAAAATATCAACATTTATCAAATATATCGTTAAATCATTTATTGTTAAGAGAAGTGATTAAAAACTATATTATTTGAAATATTTCTCGTTTTGAAGCAAAACGTAAAAATGACTTTTTTGTATTCTGAAAATAATTGTATTACATTTGAAGAGAAAAATATAAGTGGTTAAAAAAAATTTACAGAACGGATACAGATAACTGCAGTGGTTTAAGAAACTACGACAAACATTGGATTTTATGTAAGGCCTCAATTTACTGCACACCCAAAATATCATCTCCAGAAAGAATCCAGTGTTCGAGTTCCATATCAAAGTAGTGCCGGAAAACAGAATATCATTTCAACAACAGTTAAAATGTAACTAAAAATAACGTAATGCCACCACTGTTTTTATTCTAAATTACTGAATACTATAAAGAAAATGATCAAAACGATGGTTCCTAATTTAGAAATGATAGAGAGAAGGCATCTATTGTCTCTTTGTAATATTTGAACCAGTTGTATTTACCAATAGACTCACACTTGTTAAATAATATTATTACATGACCAATAGTTGATGATAAGTTGACCTTCTCTCGACAATATTTCTCTGTGTCTGTATCAGATACAGTGTACAGTCTGTAAGGACAAAAACATTGGCCTTATCAACACAAAAGATACCCTGTTAGAGAGTAGAACAGAAAACTTTCACCAACACAATGGAATAAAAACAGGGTAGCTTGTAGCAGTTTAGGAAAGAGTTTTTTATTAATTAAACAGATACTTTGTAGAAATACAGGGTATCCCAGAAATGTTAATAACTGAAGATCATAATACAAAATAAACTGACCATAACAGCAACAGAGATGTTAATAACTGAAGAATATCATAATACAAAATAAACTGACCATAACAGCAACAGAGATGTTAATAACTGAAGAATATCATAATACAAAATAAACTGACCATAACAGCAACAGAGATGTTAATAACTGAAGAATATCATAATACAAAATAAACTGACCATAACACCAACAGAGATGTTAATATCTGAGTGGTTTTACCAAAAACCATAATTTTTATATATGCACGTTAATAATAACGAACTGAAAGTTTAATGCAAACATACCATTTTTCCCTCATCATCACAGGTTGACAGAGCTACCTTCCCCCCCTTATCGTTAATAATGCGGCCCGTGAACAAACAAGGTTCATCTGACGATAACACAATTGGTTGAAAGGATTGTGACGTCCCATCCTCTCGCATGATAGAAACTGTTAGGTTTGAATTGGTCAGGTCAGTATTTGGGTACAACTGGATGTATAGGATAGTGTTGTTTTTACGCAGGGTCATCAGTACTTCTGCCTTATCTAAGCTCCTTCGGTCACGGTTGAGACGATGTACTTTGGGGTACACAACCTCATAGTCCGCCTCTAAAAGAAAATCAAAGTTTAAAAAATATGCCTACCGGTATTCAGTTGCGACACCTGCTGGAGATCAAGTTTTGTTGGTTTTTTTTTTTATAAGCGTGATCCGTTTGACATAAAGTTTAGGAACAGATGAGCAGTGGATTAATTAAAACGATGATATTAATATTAATAATTTTTCACCAGAAGAGGTGTACCACTAATTAAAATTAAAACACTCTACAGTAAAAAATGCTTTACCAATGCAACAATAGGTAGAGGTAATTAGTCAGTTACAGAACTAGAAATTTAAAGGCTTTGAATCATTAGTTGGACATAAACCAATATTTTACAGAACTCTGTGTGTAAATGTGTCCACTAAACCATTATTTTACAAAACTCTGTGTGTAAGTGTGCTCACTAAACCAATATTTTACAGAACTCTGTGGGTAAATGTGTCCACTAACCCATTATTTTACAAAACTCTGTGTGTAAGTGTGTTCATTAAATCACTATTTTACAGAACTTTGTGTGTAAGTGTGTTCACTAAACCAATATTTTACAGAAGTTTGTGTGTAAGTGTGTCCACTAAACCATTATTTTACAGAACTTTGTGTGTAAGTCTGTCCACTAAACCATTATTTTACAGAACTTTGTGTGTAAGTCTGTCCACTAAATCATTGTTTTATAGAACTCTGTGTGTCCGTTAAACCACAGTTGGATCTGACCCCTATGTAAATGTGTCCACTAAACCACAGTTAGATCTGACCCTTATGTAAGTGTGTCCACTAAACCTCACATGGATCTGACCCCTATGTAAGTGTGTCCACTAAACCACAGTTGGATCTGACTCCTATCTTGCTTCTAGCCTTATATGAAACATAGCTGTAGTAAAGGTTTGACTCGCTTGCAAGAGGTTTGACTCGCTTGCTTCTAGCCTTAATATAAAACATAACTGTGAGTCAAACCTCTTCTATATAAGGGAGAAGCAAGTAAAACATAACTGTAGAAGAGGTTTGACTCACTTGCTTCTAGCCTTAATATAAAACATAACTGTAGCGAGTCAAACCTCTTCTTGCTTCTAGCCTTATATGAAACATAGCTGTAGTAAAGGTTTGACTCGCTTGCGAGGTTTGACTCGCTTGCAAGAGGTTTGACACATAATATAAAACACAACTGTAGTACCTACAGTTATGTTTTATATTAAGGCTAGAA